TTTGAAAGGGCAAAAGCTCTATGAGGCAGTATGAGTGCAAACCTTTCAGAAATGCTGATTGCATTTGGGGAAGAAGATCTGAGTTAGGCATTTGACAAAAAAAAAAAAAAAGAAAAAGATTTTCCTCTCTTAATCCTTTCAAGTGAGGAGGAATCTTCACAATAAAAAAAAAAAAAAGGAAAGACACATTGCTCTCCACGTGATACTCGAAAACATCTGCCATCTCCTGGGGGCTCAAGGAGAAAGAGAAAAGAAGCTCATGAAATATAAAATTACCCTGGAATCCATATTAATGACTACAGCTTTTTTTCCAGTGGGCTCCACTGTACTCTTCACCCTGCGCTTTACGCCGCTGCTCAGAGACAGGCGAGGAGATGTTAAAAGCCCCGTGGCAGAGCAGTTGCCTTCTCTTTTGCAGGAGTAAATCAGCAGCCAGGGTCTGTCTGGAGAAATGGCAGGGTTTGCTGCAGAGGGTGAGGATTTATCGCGGGGCTGGTGCTGTGGATACACACTGCTGGGGAGCCCCTACGATGAAGACCCTCCCTGCACAGAGGCCCAGACAGTAACAGCCTTTTTGGGTTTGGATTCTTGTGTCGGGTTCATCCCTCAGCAACTTCCAGTTTCCCACGAAGGAACTTTGTGGATGTGCTGTCTCACTTTCCCAATTGGGAGGCTGATTATTTTTTTCCCCAGTCGTCTGGTACCTATAGGGAAGCTTTTTGTCTCTGGAGCTTTAACCGAACCCAAGGGAAATTAAAAAGAATATAGTTTCTCCTCATTTAATCTTATTTTACTAAAATATCCGCAGATGTGGAGCTGCCTGTCCTAGATAGCACATCCATCATTCTGCTTTTGCTTGGGTAAAGTTTGCCCTTAGGGATTCCCAGGAAATCTGTCTTAAAATTACCAAACCTACCGTCATTTGAAATTATGTAGTTTGTGAGTTCCAAATCAGCAAGAAACTTCAGCTTCCTTCTTGTTTTGCTCCAATTTAGCTAAGGATAAGAAAGGTGCTTTGAAACTACTCAGATTAAATTCAAAGTTCCACTGAAGCTCTGCTTTTTCCCATTTGGGGCTTGCCCTCCTGGGATGCCCATGCAGGAGAAGCGGCGTCTTTCCTCCTCCGTGTGTGTGGATCTGGATCCCTTGGTGCTCTCTCTCCTGTACAGGATGGCTCAGAATCACTTCTGCATCAACAAAACCTCCCCAGGAAAACTTTGCCCTTTCACACAGGACCTGTGCACCAAGGGGGAATCTCATCCTGTGGGAAAAGCAGAATACAATTACTATATCCCAAGAACCAAGAAATTTAAAATCCTCATCTTCCATCTCTCGTTAATAGTTGACAAATGTTCTGATACTCTTCAAATGGGGGAAGAATTAAATCCTCCAGCCTCTTTAAGGTTTAATCCTGTGAGTGGGAAGCCCAAATTTTGGCTGGGGTTTAGATGTGAGGTCAGAGAAAAATGGAGTTGTACTGTACAAGGAAAAAGTCATAATAAAATTGGAGAGATGCTGTCCAGAGTCTTTTCCTAGGTTCACATAACCAGCAAACTGGGGAAGAGGTGGTTTGTTTTCATGTTTTAGACTAGTGCTCTCAACAGCCTCCAAAATAATTGAAACAAGATGTTCAACTAATGGATTCTTTGCAGATGCAGTGGGTGCCTGAAGAGAACCTGTTGTCAAGGGATGAAAAACCACTAGTTATTTATCAGAAAAAAACCCCATACGTCACTTACCTCTGGTGAGTCCAACCATGGCAGAACTAAGTACACACTCTGAACCACTCCTTCCTCTGCTCTGTCACAGTTTGCAGTTACCTTTCCTTTTGCTTTCCTTAATCAACGATCAAATAAAGCATCTGGTAAGTTTTATTTTCTGATTCAAGTGAAAAAATGCAAAGGATTAGACTGTGTGATCACAGATTTTCTTTTTTACGCCTGCTTTAACTGCTCAGGTAACTGCCAGGGACTGTCTGTCCTGGGGTGGGCGTTCAGATCGGTGGGTACAACAACAGCCCCTTTCTGCCCTGGTGAGGCCACATCTGGAGCACATCTGGGTCCAGTTCTGGGCTGCCCAGCTCAAGAAGGACAGGGAACTGCTGGAGAGAGTTCACCTGAGGCTACAAAGATGGTCAAGGAACTGGAGCATCCCTCTGATGAGGAAAGCACGAAGATGGTCAAGGAACTAGAGCATCCCTCTGATGAGGAAAGGCTGAGAGACCTGGGGCTCTTCAGGCTGGAGAAGACTGAGAGGAGGAAGAAATGACACAGAATTACAAGCGTCAGGTGTAGGAAGAGAATTTTCAGGAAACGGCACAATTTCACCTTGCTGAAATTTGATGGATTTATGACTTAATTACAACTGACCAGGACACAGATGTTTGTGTCAAAGGTCTGAGTGAGGCAGTGCCACGGTGTGGGAAAAGTACAACCAACAGTCATAGCTTGACTTTAAGAAAAGAAAAGCCAAAATAAGTTATACCAGAGAAATGCTCTCCTTACATGCCCAAGAGTCACAATGAAAATAGTAGCTTGGCCATGTCAGAGAGCATAATACATTTTAAAATATGTTTATTACGAAAATATGGCTAAACCCATGCTTTGAGAAGCAAACTACTGAGGGACCAATCCCAAAATTTCTTTTCTGGGCATATTCGTTTTTTGGATACTTTGTGATTGATTTGTTCAGTGTTCAAAATGTATTTTTAATTTACTCAAAAGTCAGAGGAACCACAGAAAATCCATTCACTGACCTAGATTTATCTGTTCTCCAAACTGAAATTATGATTTCCCTCATAAAAGATAAAAAGCAGTTTATTGTTTCTTGAACTTAGATATATATATAATAGATTATTAATTATTTTAAAATGCATTAAGTTTAAGTACCTTTTAATTTCCCCTCTAAGGTCAGGAAGACAGTCTGTTACACTGGTGATAGGATACAGAACAAGATATGCAAGAACTTCTCTGGCAAAATCACCCTGAGGTTCCTTTCTTTCCAGCTGAAGTAGCTTTTTTTCCCTAAAATGAAAAAATTCACAGTTGCTTCCCATTCATTCACTCATGCTATTTTGGGATTTTTAATTTTTTTAAAGATTTAAAATGCATTGAAACAAGTTCATATGGATCTCTGCTGAAATATCAACAAGAGCAAACACAGATCTTTAGGCTTTTCAAAAGGATAATAAGCCAATTTATATGGAATAATAGTATTACAGGATTGGTTCTATTGCTGAACTGGAAGTATAATATAGCTCAAGGGAATGGATAAAACTGCCCTTTAATTCTCTGGAGAGATCCAGGGTCATCAGCTGGAATAAGGACAGACTTTAACATCTGTGTCTGGTACCCCTAAAACCATGGAACATAGTGATGATTCTAGAAATAAACTGCTGATTTTGGAGTTTCTGGGGCAATCCTATCCAATGTCTCTCCTGGAGCATTCCCACTGAATGCCCCATCCCTGGAGGGGCTCAAGGGCAGGTTGGAGGGGGCTTGGAGCAACCTGGTCTGGTGGGAGGTGTCCCTGCCCAGGGCAGGAGGGTGGAACGAGATGGTCTTTAAGGTCCCTTCCAACCCAAACCATTCTATGATTCTATGAATTTTACTGTGGGATCTGGTGCTGGTTTTGGGGCTGTGGAGCCAGGGAAGATGCCAACGAGCACTGTGGTTGGGTTGACTTCTCACAGATCTACTGCCGTATTGGACAGGACCCTTCCTATCTGAAGAGGGTCTTGAATTACTGACACGGGTGAATCCTCTCTGGCTCTATCTGCTGCCCACTGTCCATCTGCTGAGCTTACTGTGGGATCCATTTAACCAAACTGTAGGAAAATGCAGGTCAAGATTTTTTACTCTTTTTGTTACGGGCAAGGGAGTAGAGGAGTCGCAAATGGATATAATAGGAATCTCCCTTAAAAAAGCAAAAGGAAACCGAGGCGGGCAAGCATGCAAAATAGGTTCTTAGAACATCTGTGCATCAAATATATTTATAAAAACAGCTACAGTCAATCTTTTCCAGCTGAGCGCTCAGCAGTTAAAATATATATTGTATTACAGTTACTGTTAGAGGAAACAAGAGAAACAGTGTGTTGTTGTTTAATAAAAGGAAACATCAAGCCTTAAACGGAGAAACCAGTATCACTGTTCAGTCTCAAGACAGTAAAAATTCACCCAAGCAGTATATGGTGTAACAGCATGAGCTGAACTTGCATTACTGCTCTCTTTCAACCCATTAAAGGGGTTAATACAAACCCAAGTATTTCTTACAACTAGTGATGGTTTTATACATCTATGTTTTTATATCCACATGCCCTTCGGTGATCTATCTTGCTAATTATTAGCCTACACAGGACTTACTGCGTTGGGGGATCGTGTGACACAATTCAATGTCATCAGAATAATGAAAAGCTGATAAGAATATCTCCCCTGTTCTGCCCAGCAACTTCAGCTATATATAGAGCAGAAGTGGGAAGGAGATGAAAGCCTGGAAGGGACCAGTGAATCTCCTCATCCATGTTCATCAGTTCCTGGAACTCCACAAATTCAGCCAGGTCTTGTGGACATCTCCTGTAGCATTGTAGCCACGCTGACGAACGTTAATTGATGCATCTATAATTGCACCTAATTACTGACACTGAATTATTTAGTCTAGCAAGAAGGAGCATAAGCAGAAGTAATGGGATTAAATTAAGACAGGGAAAAATTAGGTTGAATATAAGGGAAAATTCTCTGGCAATGAGATTCATTAGGACGGGTCCCAAGGGAAATGTTGGGCACTGCTTTGCTTCAGACATAGAAAATTAAGTTAAACCCATATCCAGGAAATTACCTAGATAATTTAGTACATCTCTTCCATTTTTAAATTATTGAATTCTTCAGCAACTCAACTGCTGAACGAGTTTTTTGCAGGCAGCTCAGGTGCCAGCCAATCTTACCAATTGATGTCTCTGAAGAGATGATTGCCCTCAAAGCACTTCCATGAGAGCAGACCCTGTACTTATTCAAAGCAAGTCATACTTAAACTTTACTGTAAAGCCAGCAACGCTTAACCTGTGGTTAAATAGTGCTTAAATGCTCCCCAGGGTGGCAGTTAGGAGGAAGATGGTTGTTTTCCCATTCTGGGATTATAATTATCTCCTGTTCTCCCAGGTAGAAATATGCGACGGCAGGACATGAGGAGATAGGAGAACCCTTTCAGAAGAGGCATCCTTAATGCCTGCTCTTTCATCTCCTTTTATCGTTTGACCTGTGAGGAGCTAACTGTTACAAGCTAACCGAAGCAACTGTGAGCATAATAAGACATATGCAGACTGAACTTTTATCATGACATGATTAATGATGTTTGAAAGCGCTGTGAGTGGCAGGAAAGGTGAAGGAATCTGAACCAGGGAAGGAAGACGACATATCCTGCTTATTGCGTTTTGTAATGCCACCTCAAGGCAGGCAAAGGAGTGTGAACCTTCACAGACTTACTTGCTATAAATCCTAAATATGATTCCTATTAGGATTGTCTTAAAACTTCAATGCGATGACAGGATCTCAGAAGACAGATAAAATAACTCATGTGGCCACTGATGCTTGCTGCTTCTATTTATCTTCTTCTGCTTATGTTTAACAGCCGATGAGTTTTATTTTAGCCTTTCCAGCATTCAAATTGCACGTAACCAGCCTCAGCAGAAATCAGATGTGCCTTTTTTTGGGGGGGGAGCTCAGCCAGTCCTGGCTGCCAGCAGAATATGGGCTGGTTTCTCAGCTGGTCCACGGCTGCAGATGAGGTGATGCCCACTCCATGAATCATCAGCGTCACCGCCCGCACACCCCACGGCGTAGGGGACCAGGATGTTTCCAGAGTTAAACCATAATACCTTGCACAGCTGAAAGAAAGGGAAAATTACCCAAATTTAGGAATGAAGTGGCAACTAAATAGGAAAGAAGACAAACTCATAAACAACCCAGAACAAACCTCATTGATTCAGTGTTCTGCAGTTCCGTCAGAGGCTCAGCTAAAAATAGGGAAATATTTCCAGGTCTTAAACATTCCTATAGCTATTTCTGCTAGTAAATGCCTGTTATTCTTTGCTCCTCTAAATGTACGGGCAAGCCAGCAAGCAAAGTAACACTAAAACTTCTGCATTATTCATATTTCGTCATATTTAGGAAAAGAAAGAAAAACCTCTTAATTCTCAGCACCCATTGAATCAGCTAACGTTTCCTCCTCCTGACTCACTGAGTCCTGCTTCTCCATGAGCTGAAACACAGCAAGGTGAGTCAGGTATTGAGAGCTTCTCTGCATAACTCTTCAGCTACGAAGAACAACCAGGACTTTTCAAGGTCCAGAATGTGCTTACAGACTTCGGCTGCTCAAATCCTTTCATATCTTTCCTCAGAACTTTTCCTGATCAATTAGAAAGATGATTTAAAGAGCCTTTTTAAAAAACTTTATTGATGATCTTTAGCATGTGTCTCTTTAATTTATAGCAGCATGCTCTCCCAATTAATCCCCAGTAACTCATTTTTCAGCTAACACCACCAGTGTTGCAAAGTTATCTGATCTATGGCTATTTTCAGCACTTATTATTCATTCTACCTTGTAGAGCGCTGAGTACTGCACTTGCCCCTTAACCAGTAATGTTGTGTACTTTAATTTAATTGCAGTTCCGTGAGGCTGGATGCACTTCTCAGAAGCTGGCTCTCACCACTGAATGGCTTTGCCTTTCATCTTCCGTGAAGATGGAGCTCTGAACTATCATGCACAGATTCCCAATGGGCTGCACTAGGAAAGATGAGTGGAACATAAAAATCTTCAAAGATAGCTGCTTTAAAATGTAGCGAACTTGCATCTCTCCTTTTCTTGCCCATTTTCTCTCACTCCTTTTGTGTAACTCTTTGTTAATGCTCTAATTTCCAGTTCAATTCTTTTTTCCCCACATGTAGTGGAAACGTGGCATCCACGAGTGGTTTCCTGGCCCTATATATTATGTTCTTCTATGGTTCATGTGGGCAAAAGCTAAGCAAAAAATAGGTACAAAGCAAATATATCATATACAGCAACCTACAGCGAGGCACCTTTCCAAATATCACTCGTTTCTTTAACCATAGAACCATAGAAAGCTTTGGGTTGGAAGGGATCTTGAAGACCATCTGGTCCCTGCCCTGGGCAGGGACACCTCCCACCAGACCAGGTTGCTCCAAGCCCCATCCAACCTGGCCTTGAACCCCTCCAGCGATGGGGCAGCCACAGCTTCTCTGGGCACCCTGGGCCAGGCTCTCACCACACTCACAGCGAGGAAGTTCCTCCTGAGATCTCATCTCACCAGAAACTTTTTTGAGCACCGCTTCATGGATCTGTGTCCCAGGGATGCATTTCTCCCAGGGCTGCTGAACTGTCCTCCAGCTTTGCTTCACTGAAGGAGGTTCCCACTGAAACACAAGATTTCACTTTTATTTCTCAGCTCTACTGAAGTTTATTTAAATAGACTCAAAAAAAATGCGTATATCCTTCTAAGCTCTTAAGAAGCTATGAGATGAGGTTTGAAATTAATTATGTAATTAGAGGAAAAACAATCTAAGATTTAAAATCCTTATTTATTTGCCCATCTGTTAACAACAGTGCTCAAATATTGAGAGTTACAAATATCTCTGTCATTTTGTCTGGTTTTGTTTGCACAATATTCTGACTAAACAGTACCAAAGCTTGCAAGGTGTGATGTCATTCTGTGTCACACCTGTAGCGCGTAGGAGGGAAGGAAGGGACATTTGCTGCTCTGAGAATGCAAAGCTCACTGACTCCCCTGGTAATGGATGGATTTATTTCTTCTGTAAATCGCAAAATAGCATTATGTTATTATGCAGTTACTCTCAATAAATATTTGCAAGTGATTTAAAGATATGATTTCAAAATAGAAATACTTATACCTTGAAAGAAGGCAGTCAAGACTTGAGAGACTTCATTTCCTAAGGTGATTACTAAAGCTGACTTTATTTTCACAGTACTCTGTACAGGATCTTTTTTCTCCCCGTTTTCTCTTTCTCTCCTGCTTACTGGAAACCAGTGAGTCTATTGGGGTGTGAAGAAAGCCTTGCAGAAGAACTGATACAATTTTTGAAAACTCTAATTTTTAAAACCCAAGGAGTTTTAACAAGTTGTGATTTTCTCATTCCAGACCTGGCATGAGAGGTTTTTTTCAGGACCAGGAGAAAATTTTGGGACTGTGCTAGTTCACAGTCCAAGTCCTGAGATGGAACCTGAAAAATGTATTTCTCATTTTGCCTTCAAAACGGAATTAGCTGTTATTAGCACACAATAATTCTGGAAGCATAAAAGATGGGTGAGGAAAGATAAAAGAACTATGTGCAAAGTTACAGTTTTCAAATAAAAGAATGTGCCTAACCACCATTTTCCATCACACCAGTAGGTCTCTGCTTTGAAGGATCTGTTTAATTATCTTCTTTGTTTAAACCCTTGAGGGTGTAAATTCAAGCATATTTTAGGGAAGAGCGCTCCCAGAAAATCAAGAACTTCTGGCAGAAAGTCAATTCTACTTGTATTTTTAATGTTACAGTGATGTGATTTTCAAAACTCTGGTTATTGTGTTATGGTTCCCACCAAAACATCCATCTGGAGGGTTAACAGAGTAGAGTAGAAATACTTCACCTCCGGCAGTGCCACGTGGGCAATATTTGGATTCCAGCTCCACAGCGGACACGGTGCAGGGCAAGCACCCTGTCAGCAATTAAGATATAATGAATTTAACAGAATAATGGATATCGATTAGCGACATTTATTTCTGATAAAATGAGGAGAGTCAGCAAAAGGCAGAGGCGTTGAAACTAATTAGAGCCTAAGCAATCCAAAGTCAAAGCGGTCATCAGAACTAACGAAGCCGGGGACAACGAGGAGCAGTGGTACTCATGGCTGCCCACCACCACTGGGTGACCAGAAGAACTCCAGTAGGAAGGAAAGTCCTATTTAACCTAAGCCTGGGTTTTGTCCCAGCAAGGGTGGACAGATCAGGCTCACAGAGACTCTTTTTATCTGTGTATCACAGAATCATAGAATTGTCTGGGTTGGAAGGGACCTTTCAGACGATCAAGTCCAACCATCAACCCAACACTGACAAAACCCACCACTAACCCATGTCCCTCAGCACCACGTCTGCCCAGCTTTTAAATACCTCCAGGGATGGTGACTCCACCACTGCCCTGTGTAGCCTGTTCCAGTGCTGTCATTCCTGCTCTTGCCAAATGCTCTATTCCACAAACAGGGTGTACACCAAGCTGTCTTTTAGCACTTGTTTAAAAAAATCAACCTAAAAATTAAGTCCGGAACCTGCAGGGCAGTTTTACTGTCAAGATTTTGGAAGAATGACTTGTATCCAAGAGAATCAAAGAGGTCACTGAAATTGGAGACCCTTCCGCCCTGGAGGGGACGGAAGAGAAGGAGAAGACTGAGTGACGGAAGTGGGGATATCTGACCCTAATCAGTGAGTTTGGGCAGGGTGATCTGACCCCAACATCTGACCCTGTGCTGGGGAAAGAAGGGAGCTTTGAACAGCATGGAAGAAGGAGAAGGAGGACCACCATGGTCCCTTGTCTGTCCTTGGGCCTGTTCAACCATCTTAGTTCTCATCTTAAACATCCATAAAAATCTCAAATAAAAGATTCTGGAGATTGTTAGTTAATATTGTTGCTGTTCTAGACTTAAAAAATACATAAAATATCCTGTTTTATAATGAAATAATATTTTCCACATTAGGAAGCAGTCTTACTTTACATATAGAAAGACATAAAGTCTAAGCTTAGAAGGTTGTTAAGCTTCCATTAAACAAAAAAATTATTATTACAGTACTCTGTGCCATATAAAGTAGAAACATATATTGCACGACTGCAATAAAATTACACGCTGAATTAAACATGTGCTGCTGCAATATTTTAATCCTCTATTTATGTTTTAGTTTCAATGTGGTCCCTAGTAGAGTCATTTAAATCCAGAGGAGCTTTCAAATGGAAAACCCCACGAAGGTGACAGACTGAGGCTGGAGAGGAGGTATGTCCATAGGGCATGATTTCCTTCAGTAAACAACTAGCGGCTCACGTAATTTTTCCCCTATAATTCCCCAAATTGTCCAGTATTTGGAGCCTCCTGTCCGAAGAGAAAGGGAGATTCTCCTCACTCCTTCGTAGCACACGTAGCAGAAGGTGTTGCTGTCTCATTTTCAGTGAAATCTCACTGGAGAACCAATTTAAACAATTTCAGTAAAGAAAACCTCTGGGAACGTGTCCACGAGATTACAGTTTTTCAACTGATGATAAAAGTTTTTCATTTTAAAACTGCAACATCTAGACAACATTTTGTTACAGGCTTTGAAATAAGCAGTGCCGGCGCTTGCCAGTAACCATGTGCCAGACCTTGTAATTCTTTCACAGCCACAGGAAAGAAATGTTCGAGAAACTCAATTTTCATTCCCAAAAGGTCCCCTTTGTATGGGGGTAGTAGCAATCTCTCACTTCAGAATTAATACTTCTAATATCTTTGAAGTTTCAGCTAATTTTCTACAGATTCTTTACTAGGCATTTTTGGATGCACTTGCTAGTGGTGAGAGTCCTCACGGGATAAACAGACATTATAGAAAATATTAAAAAAAAAAAAAAGGATAATACTTTTAAGATGAAATAAGTTGAACAACAAAAGAATAAGTCTGTTATCTCTAGAAAGAATCAAGATGCTTTCTCAAACATCAAATCCCCTGTACTTCCTTGAAAAAGATATCAAGGAGAAAACAAAGTATTCTGATTTTTACACAAAAAGCAAAAAAAATCCCCTATTTTGCTAGTAGGCACCTTGTGGGTTTTTGAGGATAACAAAAGACCTGAAACAATTTAAATGCATTACAGTTATGCATATTCATAAAGATATGCTGAACAGATAACACAGCAAATGATTTAATTGAAAAATCAGCCAGTGTGAATATTTTTTCCTGTGAATCATGGAAATGCGACAAGATCTGTTCATTAATATAATCTCATTTATTTGACATTATTCTTGTCACTTAATATAATCTTCATACAAAGAATAAAAAATGGAAATTACCAAAAAAGCAAAGAGAAAAAAATAAATCAAGAAAAATAGAAAGGGGAAGAATGTCCCTGGAAAATGTAAAAGAATATAGGTTACACTAATCACTAGTATGAGAAAAGAAATATAATGAATGAGAAAAAAGGCAAACAGAATGTGGAGATAAAGAAAAGAGAAAAAGGGGATGAAAAAAACCCCAGAACATGCAGAAAGTGCTTAGCACATGTAATACAGGTAAGAGCTTCTCAGCACATCAATCCATCCTGGAGGCCAGATCCTTCACCAGCTTTTGGCCTTGAAATTTTGTAACTTTACATCATAATTTTATATCATGTAAATTTAGACAGGAAGCAAACAAACATCCTCAGTGCGTGTGAAGCAGCACCGTCCCATACACTATCCAAAGCTTGAAAGTGGTGCTCTTTGGTCCCAGCAGAAGACCTGGCCCTAATTAGTGATGAGCAATATAGTGAAACAGACTGACTTCTGATCTGTCATGAAATTCATATGACTGCGCTGTAGGTTTAATTTTATTGATTGAAAATTATGGTTATGGAAATTTCAGTAGTGGAAGTGCTGGTATCAGCTGGGACTAGAAAGAATTACTGTCTCTTCAGGAGTTTGTTCTATGTGACACTATTTTTTTACTTTATTTCCAGACTTGTTCAGTGGATGAAATGTTTGGGAATGATGCTCTGGGTCCCTGTTGAACTGGATTCCACGGAGCTCTGCTCTGGTGGTGCTGTGGAGCCCCAGTGCACATTCACCTTTTCTGGCCTCTTTACAGCCATTAAACACCTTGCCAGTGAGTGACACTTGAAAAAGACATTTCCATGCCCACTAAGTGCTATTTTTAATCAGGTGATATATGTACTAAGTTCTGCATACTTTTAACTAGCTATAGCATTGTTATATGGGTCAAATTAAAGATACTTCTTTTGCCTTATTAAATCTTACATCTGAAAATCCCCTGGAAATTGAAAACAAAAGATTTGAACAAAACTGTAAGAAGAAAAGGGTTTTTTTTTTTTTTGGACATACATTCAGAACACACAAACATGATCCAGTGATACATGTAGGTATCAAACCTGTGCACGGCCTGTGTTGGTGTAAACAAATTCTGTTTGAAATTGACAGCTTTTGGTCTGCATTCCACCACTGATCTTCCCTCCTGGCCATCAGTCCAGAGATCAGCTCTGCTAATTAAATTAAAAAGGGATTGTCAAGAATACTGCACAAGAATGAAAAACTCCAGCACTGTCCTATATGTTGTTTATGATCCTCATAAAATATCTGTGCGTTAGGTGTAATTTAAACTGCGAGCTCCTGATAAAGTACCATCCGTACTTATGATGCTGTATAAATAACAAAAAGGAAATAATGCAATCTATCAAATGCTCAAGGCTGAAAACTCATTTAGTCCTAAATTATTTCAGTTACTATGACCACAGATATTTAAATGTGAGATAAATTCTTATAAAGTCAGTTGTTAATAGACACTATTAACTAAAATTTATATTAGTAATTGTAGATATTATTAACTGTGTGAACTGATAAAAAGGAAAAGCCTAATTGGAAAAGGGAGATTAACTTCATTAGAGAGAACATAACGATATAACATATCTTGTTTGACTTCTCTGAGTAACTAGAACTTACAGCCAAGTTGTCTGAGATGAATGTGCTCTTCACAGGTCAGAATTTGAGCTTGCATCCACGTCGTGCTGCGGCGTAACTCCCACAGAGCTCACAGCAGGAGAAATGGAGGGAGGGAGGGATGGATGGATGGATGATACACCTTCAAATTGTATGGGGAAGGAAGTCTAAAAAGAACCAAAACTGAATTAAAAAATAACAACAAAAAGAAAAATGAAGTAAGATCCCTCCCCTACAGTCTGGCAAACAGAATCCACTGAAAGGATTAGACATACATTAATTTTAAGATTTATTTTACAAATGTTTGTTAGTACAACTGATCAGTATAAATAATTTTTCATGGATGTTTATGATGACACAATGTTCTTTTAAAACACATATAAGCAATGTGCAACAAACAAACTGTGAGAGTATTATGATTGCTCCCTATAAAGTCCCATTTATCTCTAAGACGGAAGAGAAATAACTTGGGAGAGAGATACAGAGCTCTATCAGAATGAACAGACAGAGAAAAATAAATAATGATTTCTGTATTTTGTTATTTTCCCAAGTAGAAGGACAAAATCAGGAAATGCTTACTGTATTTGTTCTGTCAATGACACAATTCTCATAAAAGCAAACAGTAACACACTGGATAAACTATGGAGCTTTTTATTAACAGTATTGTCTGTCCATTTATATGGAACCTTGTAAATGTATGCTCTATTTTTACCAGATTAAAGGCTGATTTCAATATGGACTGCCTGAAAACTGCTTTCATAGTCCCAATGTTAAGCCCTTTTACTTTCTTTATTTTATGACTGTGATTCTACTATTGATGTTTTATATTCTCCCTCCGAGACCACCATACATGAAATGATTAAAGACCGAGCTTTAGGAAGTCTGTCTGCTCTGTTTAAAGAGACTTCTCTCTCATTCTGTACGTTAATGTCACATAACATCTCAGCACAGTATTTAATCATCCAAAGGAGAGAGAGAAACCGCTTTCATAGAAATTTAAAATCTTATTTTTAGCAAATTAGGAAAGTGTCCACTTTTCAGGGTCATTACTCACAACTGTGACAATACATTGCTCAGCGCTGGTGCCTGCTTGATGTAGAAATAAAAATGAAGAATACTAGATCATTAGAGGTCTTTATGCTATTTGATTATTGAATACGGAGGCAGTTAATTTTTAAAAAGTACTATGAATGGTATTATTCATCCATGGTAGTCAGCTCAGGCCTGTCACTGGGATTTGCCAGCCCAGGTGGCCTCAGTGGTGGGCAGGTGGAGCTGGTTTACACTCATGGGAAGCAAAAAAACCTTAAAGCAGTTCCCCAAACTCAGTGCTTTTCCATTAACCTGTGATTACTTGATTGAACTATATTAATTGAATTGATTGAAATATTCTGGCCAAATGCTCCCCTATTATATATAAAGCATTCTCAGCTGAAAGGCTTCTTTCTACCACTGTGTACTGGTGGAAAGGTTTTCCTAGAGGGAAAAAAATATTTTCTGTTTAATGAAAAAGTTCCCACTGGTTTCTAAAGATTGATCATCTGTGTTGATGAACGTAATTTGCACAGGAGAGATGGACTCAAGTCTACTTTAAAACATCAAATGTAGATCCCTGCACAACAGAAGGCATAAATGACAGAACAGGAGTTTGCAGGTAGGAGAAAAAATGTAGGGCAAAATCAAAAATAGGATGTGCTACTGTCTGTAACCTTATTAGTAAGTAAAGCTGAGGTGGGTAACAAAACTGTTGGATTTTAAGAATTGAATGCAGCTCTATTGGCTGATAAAGTCCAGCTGGGTGCAGTTGCTTAGGATAACTTTATGCAACAGAAAAAGAGGAGTTGATTTATGCTGTAACCCATCTTGTACCTATTTTATAATGAGATGAATTATCTTCCCATCACTGACCACTGAGGGAAATGATATGAAAACAGACTAAATATTTACTCTTTGAACTCTTTTAGGTAGGTGAGATATAACCTAGCTGAACTGCTCTGACAGAAAGGGTGAGAACAGTCACAGAGTTGGTTTGGTTGGAAGAGACCTTTAAGATCACCAAGTCCTATAGTTAACCCAGCCCTGCCAAGTGCCCACTAAACCATGTCCCTCAGCACCACGTCTACATGTCTAAAATCAGAGCTTAAAGAACACACTTAGCCCTTGTGGCAGAATATAGGGTCTAGAAGCCATACCCTATCCCATATTGTATGCAGCATTATTTTATTCTGTTAAAACTGACAGAGTGCTTAGATAAATAATCAGCTTTCTGTACTGCTCAATAGACCACCGTGGTGCTGTAGCCTGAGCAATAAGATGCAGCTCTTGCTTCATTTTCATCTATTTATATATTCTACAGAGCTGATCTTAGTTGTTTGTTTTTTTTTTTAATATCCCATCTTGCTCATCACAACTGCACTGTATTTGCAGACCCAAATCCATCACCTCTGCACCTGCGTAATCATTTACACCACAGCAAAACAGTATAAAGGGAAAACTGGGACCACAACCCCAAACTGCAACATTTTGCACTCTCTTTGTGGGGTTATAACTGAACATAAAAGGTGGAACTGACAAATAGACCAATTATTATTTCCACCCCAGCTTGTTGGCTCCTTGCTATGTAATCCAAGCTTGTATTTGACTCGGGTTTGCTCTTCACTGCGAAGGCAATCGCTGAGCTGACACAGAGACTTACATTTATTCCTTGTCTAGCCTTAAAGCTTTAACAGCCAGGAAATCTTCTCCGTCGTGATTCCTAGCATTCAGTCAGCAGGGATAGGCTTGGTCAGAAAAAAGCTGTGGTCTGTAAGTTACTGCTGCCCTGTCATGAGCAAATACGATGGTTTAATTAGTATTTTCATGGGTTGAGCCGTGAGGAAACAGCTTCAAAAGGTGACAGCCTTGCACAGGAGAAGATGTTGGGCACTGAAGTCTGTCTGCAACAAGTGAGGAAACAGCTTCAGAAGGTGACAGCCTTGCACAGGAGATGTTGGGCACTGAAGTCTGTCTGCAACACTGTAAATCAGAGAAATCATTCTGCTAAATTGGTAAAGGTTAAACAGATGTAAAATAGGTATATCTGATATCAGAGACAAGCCAGCGAACGCCTGCAGCTCAAGAAAGTAGCAATGATTGCAGGAATTAAGGGAAGAATATTTGTGTAACTTCTTGAATCCTCATTCTGCCAGTGAGTAAGTTAAATTGGTTCTGTAGCAACCAGAAACCTCCTTCCACATGGTGTAGTGAAACCCTAATAAAATCCTGCACATCTGCCAGATACACAACCCAGTGAGTAAGTTAAATTGGTTCTGCAACAACCAGAAACCTCCTTCCACAGGGTGTAGTGAAACCCTAATAAAATCCTGCACGGACCAGGATTCCACTCTCATGTTTATCATTACTCCTTAGTACATTCCTCAGCCAATTACTTGTAGTTGTAATTGCATTTCTACGTAATCCATTTTGATTCATTTGTCAAACACAATTTTGAGACACACCGTGTCAAATGCTTTAGTAAATTCTAGATGCTTTAATGTACTTCCTTCCCTTCTTCCGCTAATTTAGAATTTAATTTAAAAAGTAATCATTTTTTGTTTGGCATGATTTGTTCTTTACATACCCATGTAAGCGATACTGTTTTTAAAATGAAATGCAACTGTGAACATTACATTAATTTCAAATGTTTTCTCTGAGGAAGCAGGGCACTTCAGTCAACGGTAGTTGCCTTGAGAGTAAAAATACCTTATATCCTAAAAGACCCACAATGTTATTTCAATTTTTGTGCTTTCCTGGTGCATTTCTTTCACACAGCTCATTTTTGAGACCAAAGAGCAAAATGGCATGTTATTATTAGATAGTTTTTATACAGTTTTAGATTTTTACTTGGTATAGCCCAAATATACACAGATCTATACAGAGTGAGACCAGACTTTTTATCATGAGTGCATGTCTATTTCGTGCAGTTAAATATGACACGCTGGTTGCATAAATCTCTCCCCAGCAGAAAATCTTTTAACTTCATACACATATATTCATGCTATAGAATTTTCAATTACCGATAAGTGCAGTTTAAGTGTTAGTACCTGAGGAGTTGTTTGATCTCTAGTCTGTAGAGTCCACATAGGCTGTCCAGTTATGGAGAAGGATGGGCACCATCAGGAGATGATTTATCCCACCCTGATGCACCCGAGATAAACGGGATGAGTGCTTCCTGCAGAGACCTCCTTTCTCCACTGTTCACGAGGCATCCCAGATGACAAGCTTCAACCAGGCTCCAAATCCTTACAAGTAGAGTTCTGCCCCAAATTCTTACCTAATGAAAACAAAACCACCAATAATCTGAACCGCTCTTTGAAAGCTTCCAAACCTGAAGACAGCACTTAGTCATTTAGTACCACAATGCCTTTTGTTTGTCTGAAAGAATCTGCTGAAAATTGCATAATTATAAAGGTGAATGTGACTTACCTTGTGGTATCTGTGCCATACATGAATTTTTCCAGGGCCAAACTTTAACACTTTTTTTTTGGTCTTGAAATTTAAATATTAGCAAACAATTTGTCACTGAAGAAAATTTATGTATAGTATCTCCAACTTCTGTCAAAATGACTTGCAATAAACACTAGCAGCAATCTCAAAAGTCCAAGGAATGAAAAAATACATGCTATCTGTTAGAACTCCAGTATCTTTATAATGCAGAGGAACAGAATCAATATCATGTAGCAACGGAAGGTCTAGTAAATTATTTTGTACATACCAGTTCATATTTACTTATAATTATAATTCACAGGAGCACATTCCTGCAATCAAGAGACAGGGATGCACAGCATGAAAGAACATTTAGCACAGAACAGACTGCATGAATAATTGCCTGTCAGAGTGGCTTATTAAAGGGAAACTACAATTTTACAAGACAATTCCTGTATCTGCTTGTCTAATCTAAAGACAGATAGCTATATAAATACAAAGGGTTCAAGAACAAATATTTCTTACTCTGAAGTTAAATTAAAAGTTCAGTTTTAGAGCATTAAAAGAACCATCAAAATGTGACAATTTTAATACACGTGTAAGCACAGACCTTTCTAAATGGGAAAGTGAAACCTTTGCATTTTAAGGCAGCGGTGGTGCCAGCAGCGAGAGGAAAGGGATGGCAGTGTGGCCATGGAAACCATACAGCCTGATGCCACCAAAGGTACCTGGCAATGTCATCTGGGATGTGTCCTTAAAAAGGTAAGAGTAGATGTGCCCAGTGTACCAGGGCAATCCAAGCAGCCTTCCAGGTGGAATCACCAGCAGGCACTTACCAGGACCACTTACTGGTGGGTGCTCCAGGAGGGACCCGACACTGGGCGCTTCTGCGGAGGCGGGAAGCTCAGTTTCCTGGCAGGACTAATTCTGCTTTATTCATCTAATTAATGGGTTTCACTTCCTCCTTTCTGACTGACGCAGAAGTTCTTAGAAAGCAGGGAGTGTGAAGCTAAAGAGAATTAAATTTAAAAGAAAATAACAGCGGGGAAAGTGTGTAAAGGAAAGTTCACTTAAAAAAACCACCAAGAACACAAATTAAAAAAAAAAAAGGTGTTGCAAATGAACCTGTGGCCTTTGGTGATAATTCAGCTTCCTACATCCATTTCAGAGTTTAAAATGTGTCTTTGCATTCTTTGTATGCCTCTGAGGTGACCCAAGGAATGCACCCTGAAAGTGGAAGAAAATAATACTCTGTTATTAAAGTGGATTCAAAAATAAATGAAACCATAACATTACAGGCTTTAGGAGCAGCATCTGCAGCGCTGTCCAAACCAGTAACATTCTGTCAGGCCTGGTTTAACGCCTGTGATGGAGAGATTGAAAGTTTGAAACCTCATCACTCCAGAGCTGCTCTAGAGCTTGAAGCCCACCAAAATCTATGTGAGACCTTACACTGATTTCAGAGAGCCTGGACCAAGGCCAGGGTTGACAGAACAAAGGCAGCAGCTTTAAAAACGCTGCTCAAAAACTTCTGAGCCTTTCTTCTGACGACCACTGCTGAGACTCTAAGCCATGTCACTGTCGTAGGGGTGGATTTGATAACGATCATAATCTGGATTTTCCACTGTGAAATACACCCAGTCATTTTATATATAGTAACTGGTCATAAAAATCATCAGATGGAAACATCTCGGAGCCATTGAAAGAAAGCTTTGCCCCTTTCCAAGTAATACACTTGATAATGTTTCACTTGAAAAAAAGCTAATAACTTTTTTTATAACAATCTGAGAGAATTTACAGCTAACAGTTCTCTCTGAGAACATTCAGGCTCCAGGAATATATGGCTTGCTTTAGAAAAATTATTATCAGTTCTGAATATTATAAAACTGACATAGTTTCCAGAAAAGGTTGTAAACAAATTATTGGGACTTTCTGTTCCAGGAAATACATTAAAAACAATCAAAGTAAAAAAAATTAAGTTGGCCAGTGAGAAGACTGTCTAGACAAAGCTTCCATTATGTGGTTTAGCAATCCCCTGCAAATGCTGCTTAAAGATAAAATTGGATTCCTGTCCAGAATATTAATACTTTTATTACAGTTTATGGCAATATATGTATTTTATAGATACATGTGCATATCCATATAGGCAGATGAAGAACATTCAAAATGGTATAGATAAGGGTTTATCAGTATTTCTCTCTCTGTCAAATAAGTAAATCATTGTTTTTCAGGCAGAGGCTTCTGCAGAGGAGGAGGATTTCCTCATTTTCAGACAAGGAGTTGTGCATTTCCATTTCAACCTCTGTCTGTGCCCGCTTGTGAGCGGTTCCTAGGGGTGACGCAGTGACTGTGGAGCGAGGAACAGCGCCCACAACTTCATATTCCCAAACAACTCCACAGAAATAGTTTGCAAGTTGAAGTTTTGTCACAGTCAGAGCAAGCTCAGGAACACAGAGACCAGCTTTATTGTAATTGACTCATCTCAGTGCAGTAGCACCAGGAAAGTAAAAAAAGTACCATTTTTCTAGCATGGCAGGAGAGAATTTTGAGATGTTTCCCTAAGACAGAAGGAAAGCACTGAGAATTAGATCAGCTCTTTTTTTTTTTTCTAGGCGTAGCAATGCACCCTTTAATTTTTGGTAGCCAACTGCAGTGCAATTGCAAAACAGCTCAATGTGGAAATCTGAACCCACCTCCCCCTCGAGACTCAGGCAAATGGAGGCAGCATCTGACTTTTTCTAGGCGTAGCAATGCACCCTTTAATTTTTGGTAGCCAACTGCAGTGCAATTGCAAAACAGCTCAGTGTGGAAACCTGAACCCACCTGCCCCTTGAGACTCAGGCAAATGGAGGCAGCATCTGACTGAACTTTCCCAGGATCCTCGATCTTATACAAAAAGAAGAAGAAAGATAAAAAAATGCAGCTAGTTTCAGAAAGGAATATTTATTCCTAAGCAAATTTCAAAATTGTCCTGGTGAACCTGGTTGCAAGCTATTTTATATTTGTCAGCTAACGTTTACTGTTAATAACCACAAGGAGACTGTATCAGAATTACTAAAAATTTGTGTGGTAATATGGGCAAGAAAAAGTCAAAGTTAAAATAGTGCGAGCTAGTAACTGTGTGGGGTCTATTTAGGTAGAGAAGCTTAAAAGAAGCTTCATTTTTACAATTTCTGACTGTGCCAAAATAAAAAAAAAAAAAAGCTTGGAAAAAAAAAGGCTAACATTTATAGAAGTTCAAAAGCAAGTGGCTGAGTTCTCAGCTTGCCATATGTTCCCAGGTGGATAAATAATACCTCATTTTGGAGAAGCTGTTTTGAGCTACTTTAATCAACTGTGAGGTATGAGGCTCAATGGAAATACTGTTTTTTTTTTTCCAAATGGAACTGGGCCTGTGATGCCAAGATGGCTGGGAAGTGTGGAGTTCCCCTCCCTTCATCTGTTCTGAGAGTGCTGAACAGTGGACTCTGTCCAAAGCCACGGGGAAGCGGCAGAAGCCGTTATCGAAAGCCCCGTCAGGTTCTTACGCTACACGCAGCCTCCTGGGCATCCTCCCATCCCTCTCTAACTTGTTCTTGTAAGGGCTCAAATGGCTTTGCAATTATAGATTAAAAGTCGATAGGATTTTATTTTTTTTTTCTTTAAAAATTAACACTTTTTTTTGTTACACATGCAGGCCATTTCTGTGAATCCTGCCAGCTTCTTTCTTCCCACAAAATCCTCTCCATCATTGCTTCAAATACTCGGTATTTCAGTAACTAGTTTCTCAAACCTTATAACAGGTGCAAGTACATCATGTTCTTTCATTGTCATTTATCATTGTCGTCTCATATCATCAAAGGATGAGAGGGAACATTGTCTGCAGACCGAGGAAATCATAAAATCTAACCCTGCCCCAGCTAATGTGTCACTTTTGGCCTTAGGAAAATCACATAATCAAGAGGTGACAGAAGTGGTCTGATGTTCCAAGTTTCTCCATTTCTGAACGCCTGTCACACTTGAGAGAGCTGGCCTTAGCTCAGCTGCCTCTGGGTTGTAAATGGAGATAAGAACAGCTTTCTGTCTCACAAGAGAGAGTTAATATTTGTTCAGTGCTTTCAAAATGTTAAGTGCTACATAAGTGCTGAGAGTTATTAACAGGAATAATTTATGTTTTCATCTAGAGCCTGTACTCTTCTGTCTGATCATTATCTAGCTTCTAATAAATAACAGTTTTACCAGAATATAGTCCCAGGAAATATCTTTCTCGCTCTTCTTGGAAAATGTTCCTAATTTTTATCATGAGACTTGAACATAATGTGTCAGATTTAAAATCATAGATCTGTTGGAGTTTATAAATTTAAACTAAATGGTCTCTGGGAATGATTCTTCCTCATCTTGTCACATACAGCATTTTGTTCTCCCAGTTACCTTTGAGTTTGCCAAAGTGTATGTAAATTGAATTCATAATGTCATTTTGAGTATAAATATCAAATATATGAAAAATGCATCAGTAAACTCTAAACAGAACCCCCCCCCCCATGTCAATCTTTATACTGTTGGCTACTTTAAGCTGTTCCAAAGAGGATCAGATTGCCACTAACCGACAGTAAACTATATGCAAGCTTGTATTTTGGAGTCATTTGTACTCCCCTTCCCCTTAACTGCTCTGACTGTAAAATTTGTAATGATATTCCCAAGCACTTACTCATGGGGGTGAGTCCCTTCCTATTAAGTAAGGGTTAAAGTCCAGCTCACATAAGGAACTGATGAAAAATTAAGTTCTGTGTGCTTTGGAGTTTACAAAGTAGCACTCACGCCAGTGCATCTTGCTGATGCTCCTATGTATTTCAGTTGGAAAATACAAAGTAAACCTGGATTTGGTGAAATTTTGGGCTGCAGTGAGGCTGGATAAACCTGAAATTGCTGACATAATTTCCCAGGTGCTTCAGCTGCCTCAGTCCTGCAGGAATAAACATCCTCCCTCAGAAAGGGGACAGCAGGGTAAATACATGGCTTCGCTGCTTCATCACCCTACGGAGAAAGGTACCGTTAAGAGGACAACCTTTCCAAAGTTAACTAGTTATTAGTCAATGTCCAACATACACAGTAAATCAAATAAACACACTATTTAAGGTGATGCCTACGAAGCTTTTGACAGAATGGGATGTGCTGTTGATGTAAATGGTATTTGTGCAGAGCACACAGGGTCAGAGACCGACCCATCACAAAATCTCACAGCACTTTTTCCCTGCAGAATGTAAAATCTCGTACTCTGGCATGATCAGAAAACAGATTTTCCCCTTTTGTAGAAATGAAGCCACTTACATTTATTGTAGCACTGTAAAACTCCTGTATTTTTTTTTTTTTTTAGAGCACAAGATAAAATACCAGGGTATAACTAAGCCGTATCTATGATAATCATATCCTTCCTAAAACACATAACTTTGGAAGCCTTTGTGTATTTATAAGGCGTAAGCAGATCTTCACACATTTGCATTTAAACATCAAACCCACTGAAGTTGTCTTGTTCATTACAGCACTTTCAATATAATACAGTAAGAACAGCCTGAAGTATTTCTGAAGGAACATAACTTATAAAACAATCCCTTTCATTACATACACACAAGCCCCATTTTTTAAGCTAAACCACGAACAGTTTAATAAAAAATATTACTTAATAAATGAATATCTTTATCTCCTTTCTGAACTTGAAAATAATTAATTGGTCTTTATATCCCTAATAGCCCCATAATCTGCAAATATAAAAATTCAAATGCAAGAAGGAAGTAAATGCTGATTAAAAGGCAGCAGAATGGAAGGAAAGGCACAACACCAGTACCATGAATGTAATATAATTCAAAATAGCTATATAAATTCAAACCTTGCCTTCGAATACTTCTGCTGGCGACTGAAGCCCTGCATCCAACAAGATGGTTATCACAAATGTCATCCTACTGGAAGAAAAGCTTAAGGCACACCCATATATAACCAAAATGCTTCCATAAAAGTAAAAGGAAGATTAAAGATTACTGATCGTACTTCAAAAACACGTGGGCAAAGCCTGGAGGGGCCCAAACCTTCCCTCCAGCTGCTGTCAAACTTCAGTCCAGGTTTATAAATGCCACGCCTTGGCCGACTGAAGCCAATAGGAACATCAAAGGAAATTCAATTTTAGCTTTTTAATTCTCCCTGAAAAATTCCCATGTTTGTCTGCAAGAGATCCCCAAGAGAATCACACCTATATCACGTATATTTAAGACCAAGGCTGAAGTAATTTTTGTAACACAAACTCATGAACTTAATTTTATTTCCATTCTGATTAAGAGCCATACATTAAAAAGAAAAAAAAGTATCTTTACAAGTGTCTTTTCATCAAGTATAAAAAACTCTTACCCAAACAAGAAACACAGGTAGGCATTCATCACAGAAATGATGGAGAGCATAGAGGTCACTCACCCAAAATGAATATTGTACAGCAGGAATAGATGATGAGTTTCTGAAATGAAAGCAATAACATTTCCAACAGAATGTCTTCAATAGAAATAGAAAAACAAACCAATTATTTATTACATGATTTTACAGGTCCTCCACATCACCTCCTGGGAGGAATATTTCCAAGAGGAATTTGCATTGTATGTGTAGAATAACTACTTTTATGTGTTGACTGAAAACGTTGAATTTACCTACAAGGTGTGACAATGAAAAAAAATTATTACAAAAACTGTGACATTTAACTGAGACGGAACAAACATTTCTCTGGTGTAGTCATACGCAGTGAAATGTAACTCGATTGCATCTGTACATTTATAGAGCATCTCTGATTTATTTCACGTATATTTCAGGCAGGGTAATAGTTCTGTTTCCATTCAGCCTCTTCAAAAGATACCCCTAATCTCTCTGACAAGAATTTCAAATATCATTCATGGCCAAATACTGCATTTGGATTTCTTGGAGTTAATGTTATGAAAAGGAATGTGTCTTTGCTCCAAGAGAATTGCCTCCAAATCAATGGGATGCATTCAAAAATAAGACGAGAATCCAAAGAGCTGACATGATGATGTGATAAAACTTTCACATTTTATGGAAAGAAGCATTTTTCAGTTTCCTTTTCATAAATGAGAAACATACATGCACAATGTGAAGAAATGTATTATGCCTAAGTATGTAAAATATGTCAGCTTGAACACTTTAGAGTTTAATGAAAAATATTTTTCAGGATACTTTATATCATCTTTGCCAGAGAAAAATAAAAATATTTTATTTTCTCAGTATTACAGTCCTATCCCATTACCATTTTTTCCCTAGCTGCAAAACACCAGCACTGGGATATTTATGCATTAAGAATTAGGAGACTTTTTTATTGTTTGGCAAATTTTTAACGGCATTAGCTCTATTTGTAACATGTTTTCATTAAAATGAACACATGGAAAGTAATTAATATAGACCCTCATGGGTGTTTGTGAGGCTCTGTATTGTCATGGGATCACTCGTGTTGTTTCTCTTACAGATCATGATCAGACAACAGGACAAACCTCTTTTTCCACTGACATCAAAATAAATGTCACCATTGTAATACTGAACATGGGTTTCAAACGTAGAAGCTGTAAGTAATTCTTTAGCTTTCGTTTTATTGAAGCTGACACTTCCTGCCTGAGGAGTGTACTTAATCTTAGGTGCATATAATTCCCATTTAGTGCCAATATACATGTAAACTGAGACTAAGGAGTGCCAACCTATAAGAGAATTTGATTTAACCCTTAGTTAACACCTGAAGAAAGGCTGTCAGCAGTACATTTCTCATGAAGGGAAACCTCAAAACAGAAACAAAAAACACTGCTTGCATTTCAGACTGGAAGCTGGAGGCTCATAAAGGAGAAAATATATCAATAGCTCACTTCATTAGTTAATTACAGCTATCCCCAGGTTAAAATTAACATCAAGGGCTGCTTTGTATCCCCTATTCACACCTTGTGTCTGCAAAGCTACCGTAGTGTTCAGGGAAGTGGTTCCTGGTTATCAGTCATCTAAATGAAAAGTCAATCAGGTTCTCTGATTTACAGATTATTAGAGTAATAGTCTTAAATATCTCTAAACCATTTAATGCCTGAGCAGCTTTGGCAGTTTTGCAGCACATAAATATGTAGCACAGCAAAAATAATGTGTCAGTTGCATAGAACTGCCAAATACTCTTCATTAGAAATAAATACAATTGCCACACTGCTTTGCCATTTCATTTCTCCTTCCCCTTGCGTGGAAAACCAAAGATCACTACAGGAACAGGGCATGTACGTCCATTATTTCAGTTACTTCACTTTGATTTATCTTATATAAACAAACCTGTTAAATCAAAGCGCTCACTTGTAAGTTGCCTTTGGTAAGGCTCTAGTCATTTACCCATTGATGCAGGGTAAAGATGAGCCGTGAAACTGACTTGGAAAACCTTTTTGATCTTCTCACTCCCAGGCATCATGCAGAAAAGCGCAGCAGCTCGCTCCGTCTCAACGGCCTGTCAGTTCTGCAGGACAGGAGCAAGGAAATTCAGGTCAGTACAAATGTGTAGGTGGTGACCTGGGAAACACATCCCGAGGACGGGAAAAGGGAAAGTACAAGAAAGGGGATTCCTCAGATGTTTGAGGTGGATACTTGCTCTCAGAAACCTGACAATAATGAAAGAATCATAGAATGGTTTGGGTGGGAAGGGACCTTAAAGGTCATGATAAATGCTGCTGCAGAAATTCCTAATAATACAAGACAGTGAGAGAAGAGAAAAGAAATTCAACCCTGACCTTAAAAGAGGACCTATTTTCATTCTTTAATTTGCAGTACGGGGCTTCTCCTTTGGTGAAGGAGGTGTCTTAACAAATGACAGCCAGTCAGGCATTGCACCTCTCATTTCTCTTATGTGTTATTGTTAGGTCCTTCTGCTTTCTGTTGACTTTAACACAGTTTATTTTCCTTTTGCTCAGTTTATTTCCTTTTTGCTGAAGACTATTTTCTAATTTTCTTTTTAAATCCCAGGTCTCTCCAGGAATACAAGGGCTGGGGAATCAGGAAGCTCATTTCCCTTGCTCATTCTTCTGTAATCACATATTCCACCCTCTAATCAGCCAGGAGATGTTCAGTTTGGACTAGGCTTTTATTTAGATTTATTTATTTTTTTTTTTATTTAGGTTTAGAAATCAGGTTTCTAATCTTTATGGCCAAAGAAGGACTTCTTCAGGTCCTGAAGAATCTGGTATATGCTGGTATGAAACATATGCTGGTATAAAACATTAATAGAAACCTTGTTTTCGTGCCGGATCTCTAGGTGGGAAGAAGATAAATCCACGAGGGCCAGGTGGCTGGAGAAATCACAGCAGGAGCCAAAACACCAAACAAGAAACTGTCAATTTCCCCAGAAACTGACCAGGATCCTTCTGCCGGAGCTGCCTGGCATGGTGACACCAAGGAAAATCTTGTTGATTTCACTACAGCGCTGGTTTCACATAGGTCAAGGAACTTTTCAGCAAAAGCCAGGCCAGGTGTACCTGGAACACAATGACACAATCAGGGAGAACGCCATGGTGGCACCACCCCGACCCGCTTTCCTTTGGGTGGAAAACAGCCAGAATCTGGATGGGTTTTCCTTCAAATGCGGGCCACCCGCCGTCCCCCTCAGCGCCCCGCGAACAAGGGGACCCCCTGAGGCGGTCCCGCCTCAGGGGGTCCCCTTGT